ATATAAAACATGTTTTCAGTTATTTCACCTTTTTTTGTTAAGTACATAACTCCACATGTGTTCATTCATAGTTTTGATGCCTTCAGTGAGAATCTACAATGTAAATAGTCATGAAAATAAAGAAAACGCATTGAATGAGAAGGTGTGTCCAAACTTTTGGCCTGTACTGTACAAGTGAACAGCTGTTTCACAAAGTCACTGAGCCTTTCTTTAAAAAATCATGAATGACAAATATTCTTAAAGATAAACATCTTCAGTAGAAACGCTTTCAATATCACAATAGATGTGGAAATAAATATAAACATGGGTATCAATTATTGACCTCATTTGCTTAAAGTTATGATTAGCATGCCATGTTTCTAATGAAACTATGGGCTCTAGTTTCCCGGCGCAGCGCAGGTGGCGCAGGGTGGCGAACCCCGCGCAGAGCTAGTTTCGAGCAGCGCAACCCGAGGTGCGCTCAGTTTGGTAGTTTGGCAGACCGAGGCGCGCTGAGATGGGTGTGGCGACGCAGCAGGGGGAGGTGTCGACAGATCCAGCTTGGCGCAGTGACAGTTTTGTGCCAAAAGGCTTCGCCGAAGGTGCGCTTAAAGCTCGCCATCTGAAACCAGGGGCTCTAGTTTCGCAGACCGGGTGAGGCGGGGGCGGGGGCGCAGCGCACCTGTGCTTCGCCAACTGGGTGTGGCCAGGCGGACTTTGTAAGTTTGGCACACGGTGCGCCCTGGCGCAGCTACTCCTCTTTCCCACCTCCGTCCCTCCTACCGGCACAAGTCGGAAAGAGGGAGGAGAGAAGGCGTGGAGTGGGTTTTACACACATCAAACCAATCAAATGAGCCCCTCTCCTCGCCCTTAAATGCTCCGCGCGAAGGTGTAATAAGAGTTTACTCAAGTAATAACCAGTAGACCTGGTTTCAGCTGGCGAGCTTTTATCGCACCTTCGGCGAAGCCTTTTGGCACAAAACTGTCACTGCGCCAAGCTGGATCTGTCGACACCTCCCCCCTGCTGCGCCGCCACACCCACCTCAGCGCACCTCGGTCTGCCAAACTACCAAACTGAGTGCGCCTCGGGTTGCGCTGCTCAAAACTAGCTCTGCGCGGGGTTCGCCACCCTGCGCCACCTGCGCTGCGCCGGGAAACTAGAGCCCCAGGTCTACTGTCAGCGCAGGGGGAGCGCAGCCGGTGTAAGCCGAAGTGTGGCTGACCGGTGGACAGTGCGCACGTCACCAAAACCTCACAGGCAGGTTTCCAGAATGTCAGGCACATTAACAATGCAATAAATAGCCACAAAACCACTATTCAATGCGACTATCTGCAATCAGCACATAAATGTATCTCTATATCGACTGTCCCGTTACATCTGATGTCATGTCAGATCAAAGGGGATTGGCACCGTTTGGCACGTGTAATGGAAACCCAACCTGATTTGATTAACACAGCTGCAAACTAATGAGTTCACATCCCTCTCAGCCAACCACAAACAGCCACAGCATCAGATACGGAGTATATATTCAGCATCTGTCATCTTAGAAAAGTCAAAAGAAAAGAAACAGAGTGACACTGCGAGAGAGAAAGAGAGAGCGCGCGCGCACAAGAGAAACGCAACATTGATTTACAATTGTGGTGACCTCCTCCCAGGCTACCTTTGCATCATCAGCCCATGGAGGTCTGCTCGCAGTTCCGTATATTTGGACACTGCGAGCTCCCGAACCAAAACATCAGTTTTCTCCTGGGAGAAGTTTGGCCATCTGATGCTGCTGCTCTCTTCTGCCATGGTGAATTGAGTAAACTCTCATTACGCCTTCGCGTGGCGCATTTAAGGGCGAGGAGAGGGGCTCATTTGATTGGTGTGATGTGTGTAAAACCCACTCCACGCCTTCTCTCCTCCCTTTTTCCGACTTGCGCCGGTAGGAGGGACGGAGGTGGGATCGAGGAGTAGCTGCGCCATGGTGTGCCAAACTTGCAAAATCCACCTGGCCACACCCAGTTGGCGAAGCGCAGGTGCGCTGCGCCCCGCCTCGCCCGGTCTGCGAAACTAGAGCCCACTGAGTGGATCTTGTTTGAAATCATATTTTACTTTACCAAGAGATGTTTTGGCTGGTATGCGAGAAAAAACAAGAAAAGAAAAAGAAAAGAAACATAAAAGTTATGCATTATAAAAATCCATATGATGCGTCCAAATGTTGGCTTACTAAATTCAAAAGCTAGTCAAGTGCTAGTTTATTTTTTTAATCTTTATCTTGCAGTTGTTTTCATCCATTTTATGCAATATTGTCTGTAGTAAGCCAGACAAGAGGAGGATATTTGTGGGCTTTTCATAAACATTACATCACAACAGCACTAGTTTGTACATTTTTATTAAGAGAGTCTCCAGAATGTATCTGCTAAACTCATGTTTTTACAATAGGAGATGAAATAAAAGATGATACTGAAAGTGGGAGTATTCTCCCCGGAATAAAACTTTTAAATGAGCTACATTTGACTTACATTTGGCTATCTTAAGTAGAACTGTACGGCAGTAAATCTGACTCCCCTTCAGTGGAATAACAGCAACAGCTCTTCCATCTCAGACAGGTAAGTAGCCCATCAAACAGCATAAAGGACATTACACCAGCCATATGCCAAAGGCTTTTTTTTATTTTTAAAAATGTGTTGCTTGAGGAGAGGCTTGAAACTCCTTTTTTTGTTCAAAGTAACACCAGACAAAAGAAAATCTTCAACAAATTTCTCCTCACAGAAACCTAACAGCAGCACTTTATCCCCTGTTCTTTGACTATGGGGACCGTTTTTAATTAACTAATGTCCTTGAGTGTTTGGACTGAATGTCACTAAAGCATTATATCTCAACTGATTCTACAGGAAGACAGTTGACTGTGTTGTTGTAGATTGGAGCAATTGCAATGTGTAAGTAGCCATAGAGCAAATGGGATGTCCTTAAAGTAACCATAAAATGTGTGCAATAAAATACATGGTTAATTGTTATTTTAATGTACTGCAGTACACTACTGCAGTTTGTGCTATGTCAAATGATTTGTCTCTTTGTTTCTTTATTTTCAAATGCATTCAAAAGTGGAAAACTAGGATGTAATGTGTTGATGATTATAGTTTTTGTGAGGTGTTAATATGTCATAAAAATGTCATAAAAAAAGGTCATAGCATCGTATTTCTTAACAATAGCGGCAGTATAGTATGTCATAAAATAGAAAATAACCCAAAATAAAATAACCCAAGAGCCCTTTCGACAGTTGGGTCACAATGTGTTGACTAAAAATGGTTCACAATGTGAAATGACATGCTGAAAACAAAGACCTATGAACAGGAAAGTGGATATGATGTCTGAATTTACAGCATCTTTCAGGAAATGGTTGCTTTTAGTAGACTATGGGGTTATTGGCTCATAAAAATGATCGAAAAACAGCCAGAGTTTAATCCATAGCTTTATTTACTACTTAATTAATGACTGTGTGTTACCTTTAAGTCAATTATTATGAGCATTATTCTTTTCAGGTTTATTTTCCACCTGTTACCTCCTATGTCAAGTGAGCCATTATAAACAAATAGGACTTCTAGGTTGGATTTCAAAATAAAAGGCAAGCCAAAGTTTGCAGTGTGGCAAAGACAAAATCAATAGTAAATGAAAATAAATTAAGTGTTTTCCTCCCAGAATGTGAGAATCACATCTTAAGATAATTAAATAAAATGCTTTTCTGCTAGTTTCAACACTAGCATAGCTTACTATTGCCACAGAGACATAACAAATTCAATCATTTTAATTTGAAGGCAAATACATAGGCTATTTTGTGCCAGCTTGACTGACCTCCAGCTTTCTGCCCAGGTAACAGGGTTAGTCAGTGAGTTAGCAGGGAAATTAAAAGGAAAATTAATTCAAAATAAAAGTCTCTAAAAGGCATAATACACAGATGGGTTGTTCACAGAAGTGGGACCAAGTCATTGTTTTGTAAGTCAAATCTCAAGTCTTTGCCTTCAAGTCCCAGGTCAAAATAGGTGAGTCCCAAGTCAAGTCTCAAGTCCTAAACTTTAGTTTTGGGTCCTAAACAAGTCAAGTCAATGCAGTCTTCGCTGAATTTAATGCCATAATAATATATCAAATTTAGAAAAATTAAAAATGCATTTTAAAATGTGTATTGTTTGTTAAAACATTCATAAAAAAGTAGCGCTGACATTGCATTACCATATCATACAGCACTATTAACCAGTATCACAACCGAATTAATTTTGTATGTCTGTCCTGTCTTGATGTAGGCTATGTACCTCAACTCATATGAGAAAAATATCTATATGTTTCTCCTCTCCTCCTCCTCCTCTGTCAACCATTTTCAAAGCAAAAAGCCCAACTCTAAATGAAGTCACAAATAACTGGTGTTCGTATCCATGTCAAGTTGCAAGTCTTTTTTTTTCCTTTCAGTTTTAAAAATTTTTGTTAAGTCCAGTCTCAAGTCATCAAATTTGTGACTGGAGTCCAAGTCATGTGACTGAAGTCCACATCTCTGGTTGAACACATAATTACAAGTCCGTGAACACCACAAATTATTCCTTATTTGTATCATTAAAAAAAAAAAAGTTGAAATAAATAACCTATATAGTGGCCTGCTGTGAAATCGTAGCCAAATTATGCACTTGAAGCTTTTTGAGTATATGAATTACCTAATTTGATTTAGCATTAACTTGATAGGATGCTTTACTGTGCTTGAAATCACTCACTGGTAACACTTTTTACAGAGTTGTAATATTTAATTTTTGTGTAGGTGTTTATTTTTCTCATGCAGATGTTTACTGATGATTTAATGAAAAATAGTCCTCCCGCCATTTGTGTCTCACGTGCGCTTCAGCCGTTTTATTTTGACAGTGATCACCGGAAATGAAATAGATTACCGCGTGACGCTTGACCGTTGCCTGTCATCTGACTCTTTTTCCTGTTGGAAGAGAAAAAGTTTTGAAACCCCACCCTCTCTACTGACTGTAAGCACAGACGTAGAAGTGGTTCGAGGTCCTGGCGAGTGAACACTGACCGAGGAAGAGGAGTATGATAATCAGTAATGATGGAGTTATGTCGCTGTTTGGATACCGACGGTAACAGCGAGAGAACGGAGCTGGACCAGGCCACGCGCTCAACTCCATTTAGGAACTAACGGGATTTGTGTACACTGCATGTTCTCTGTGGAAAGTAAAGTCAAGCAGCTTTGGATAGCTCTTCCTGTTACAAAGTCGGCGGTTCCTTAGTTTTTGTGTTGTTATAAAGCCCAGCTCGCAGTGTGCTTCTCATAACAACGTAAGTATGGATCCCCTGGCTCACTGGGATGCGGGATTTCCTGCGGGAGCGCCGCAAAGTTGCGGTGAGACGCGGTTACTGGAGATTTAGGCTTAAAAAAAGTCGGACTGGTTAGCCCTGAAACTTGTCGTAAAACACTGGTTGGCTGGACTGAATGCTCCTTTCCTGCTATTCTTCTCCGCTTCGCAGCGCTTCCTGCTTGTGGTGGCCACTGCACTTAATGGCTAAAAATACATAAAAACTCAAAATGGACAGCTAATGTTGTGGGAACTGAATTTGGAACACTTGTGAGTATTTTTTTTTTTTACAAGCTTTGGATCATTTTATTTTTGTCCTTACAACTTTTATTTTCTCCCCAACCAGAACTCAACAGGTGGCAATTTTGAATGAGGGAAGAGAAGAGCTTATTTAGCCATAATGAGGTGATTCAAGAGGCTCTTAAATACAGGCCGGTGAAATGATAATGTGCTCAAACCATGTTGAGAAACCACACAGCACATCCCTTGAACCGTGAACTGAGACAGTGCTGCCTTTCTGAGCTTTGAAACACTCAGCCATTATCAAACAGAAGCAATCTCTCATCTGTATTCTGTATTTTCAAGTGGACGGCTTTGCATGTAATGTCAAGACGAATGAAAGACACTTACCGTTCAGTTATCTTTGAATCCTCTCGTGAAGCCCACTTGTTGGTCGAGCTTTTGAACACATTTCACTGGTCCCTGATGAACCAACAAGAAAGACAGGAAAGGGAGCGAGGCGCAATAAAGTACTCCTTTGTACTTTATTTTCAAACCCTTGGGGTGCAAAATCAGATCCAGTCTAAACATCTGCGTGAGGCTCCATGGAGCCACTGAAGAACATATTCAGTCGTGGCCCGCTGTCCAACTGGAAAAATTTGGAACAATCACAAAAAGGGAACTTCACCAACCCTGTGTGGACCGCCTTGTTTGACTATGAGGCGTCCTGTAAAGATGAGCTCACCTTGCGTAAAGGTGACCTGGTGGAAGTCCTGTCTCTGGACTCTGAGATATCAGGGGATGAGGGCTGGTGGGCCGGTAAGGTCAACAACAAGGTGGGCATCTTCCCATCCAACTATGGCTCCTTTAAGCCAAGTGGATACGGGAAGCTTCCAGGCACTGCAGTGGTCGGCGAGCTCGGCCCGGCTGTGAGCGAGTTTGAACCCGACGTGCTGGATTTCCGGGAGCTGAGCCTGGAGGAGGTCATCGGGGTCGGGGGCTTTGGAAAAGTGTATCGCGGTACATGGAGAGGCCGGCTGGTGGCTGTGAAGGCTGCCCGCCAAGACCCGGATGAGGATATCAGTGTGACGGCTCAGAACGTCAGGCAGGAGGCACGTTTGTTCGCCATGCTCAACCACCCCAACATCATTGCCTTGAAAGGCGTCTGCCTGCAGGAACCCAACCTGTGCCTCATCATGGAGTACGCCTCAGGTGGGGCCCTGAGCCGGGCGCTGGCGGGACGTCGAATCCCGCCACATGTCCTGGTCAACTGGGCCGTGCAGATAGCCAAAGGGATGTTGTACCTGCACAGCGAGGCCATTGTCCCCGTCATCCATCGGGATCTCAAGTCGAACAACAGTAAGTCCTTTAAGCCTGCAGTGCAAGCTGTTCATCAATCAGACCCAGTCAAGTCTCAGGCTGTCAGTGTTAGATTGATGAGAATAAAGGGCATGGTCGTATTTACTGAGCCCTCTGTGTGGCAACGTGCCCCATGGCAGTGATGGAACAGGGTGTACTACATATAAAGCTGCTGAAGGCATCTCTTAGTGTTTACAAGGCCACATCTAGAACAAAGACAACCTTTTTAACTCCCTCAACATACTGTGAGGCCTGTGCTCCAGTAAATTATTAAAGGAGCAGTGTGTAGGATTTAGTGGCATCTAGCTGTAAGGATTGCAGATTGCAACCAGCTTAGACTTCTCTCATGTGCCAGGCATGAACTCCTGGTTAGGATGCTGTCAGCGTTCAATGTTCGGGAAGCTTTTATGGGAACGGAATTATCCTCAGAGTTCTCCCTCTCTTCAAAACACACAGATCACATGATTTAAACTGGTAAAAATGCTGAATAAAGCAAAGTGACATTTAAGAATCTGTGTTTTTCTATGCTGTTTGGCTCAGTCTAGAGCCAGTGGTTGGTTTGTCTGTTCTGGGTTACTGTAGAAGCATGGTGGTTTGACACTGGGATCTCCATGGACAAGGACCCGCTCCCTATATAGATGTAAGCGTCTCATTCTGAGGTATCAAAAACACCACAATTCTTACTTCCAGGTGAATATACACTAAAGAAAACATGCCTATCATATTGTTTTTAATTTTGGCCAATATATCCCCCCTAAATCCTATTCACTGAACCTTTAAGTAAAACATCTCATTAGTCTTGGGAATTTGATTATCTCTTTACTTTTAATTCTACTTTAATAGGTACAGTCCAAGTCATTGTCTGGGGGTAATATATCACATTTAGCTAAAGATCAAGACAAAGCATTAAGAACTAAGATAAGTACAACAACAACACATCTTTTTGGATGATAGCCCAGTCATGTGACTCTCTAAGATGTAGGCCAAGGTGACAGAGATGCAAATATGTGTTGTTGATAGGACAAAATGCCATGCTCTGCTAGCAAAGGTCAGGAATTCAAGAGGAGGCTTCCCGTCTCAGCGTCGTCACAGCTCGCACTTTGGACTTTGATGCCGTCCGGGGGTCATCTGGGAAAGGTCTTGCATCAGTGTTTCGGGCCCTCGCGGCAGACACGTACGCATTGAACCTTGTCATTAAAGCTACACTGCTAAGTATTGCTGATAAAGCTTTTTGTCCTCCCCCTTTTGTGGCAGAACAAGTGCCTTTCTCAGCTCTAACAGCACATTTAACCTAAACACCGAGCCACCTGAATTTTACAGCAGTCTCTCCTCCTGTTATTATCATTCTTGTGATGCAGCGTATAATCCCCGTCAGCTCCGCGGCTGCATCTGTTGCGCTCCAAAAGATTTGCAACCTTCCTCTTCAGATCCTGATCATCTATGTACACCAAAATAGAAAGAGATCATGGTTGCTCCTTGTTTGACTGACTAACACCACAAAACATTGAGTACACTGCAGTTCTGAGAATGTGACCTTGGTCAGAAGCAGAAGGAGGTTAACTCCCTTGATTCATGCTTTGTTAAAAGCAGAGGATCCCTTCCTCCCAGGCTCCTTTTAGTATTTCCATCTTTTTTACTTTTGAACGAGCACTAAACGCTTCTGTCAGTCCTGCTCACTGACCACTCCTCTTTCCATTCCCCTCAGCATCTCACACTTTGTTTCACCCTTCACTTGTCTCCACCCTTGTGTCAGGTTCTTTCCCGTTAAGACCTCTCCGCTGGAAAAAAATGTCTCCTGTAGAGCAAAAGAAAGTTATGTCAATATAGTGTTTGTATATGAGGCAGGCCAACGCAAACACAATTCCTCTCTCTGTGTGCCGGGAGATCGTATCACTCTCCTGCCTCTTGCTTTTTTAATTCTTCTCCGAATCTTTGTCCCTGGCCTGCCTCTACATGTCTCCATGCAGCCATAACCGTGCTGTGCCACTGAGCAATATCCTGTTGTGGTGGTGGCTAGGGGTGATGGTGGTGGTTGGGCGCTGACAGGTTTGATGCACAGGTGCAAGAGCATCTCAACGTAAGGTCATTTTAAAGGAAGAATGCAGCCTGAAATTCTGTTTAAATCAGATGACAGCTGACAGTACAAAGTGTACTAAAGCGTCGACAGTAAACCTCGGACTGTGGTGTAAGTTCCTCAGAGTAATGGTGCAAGTTCTTCTTTCAAGAGCTGGGCTTTTGTGTCAGCGCTCTGCAATAATACACTGAGAAATCTGTTACAGACAAGGCAGATATCTGTATCCAACTGTAGCCTCCAATCGAATAAAATGCAATGAGGCAAGAAGATGTGTTCATTACCAGAAACGTATAAAGTATTGATAGTAGAAATAGATTTCCCCCAAATCAAGAACAGCCAGACTAACTAAAACACTAGAAAGTGACCCCTAGCACATTACTATATTGCTTTTTTTGGCCAGTTGTTACAATGATGGATTAAGGTGAATAGTCATTACCCCTGAAGGGCTTGTAAACAAGAGCTAAACATTGTAGTTAATGACCAGCGGAGCGCTTTTGCCTGTTTGGAAGATGCTGATGAAACAGGATCACTGAAGAAAGTGCATGGTGGGGCACTTGGGTCAGAGCCAGAGGCTATAACTGGAATTCCATTGAAAGTAAATACAGAACAGAGAGCAGAGGAGCCTCTTTCTCTCACTATTGTGTGCATGCATCTGGGGATGAGAGTCTGGGCCCAGGGACTTTTCACACCTTGCACACAAATCATTTTCACTCTTAGTGGCAAACACTGACTGACAGCCAGTGTCAGCTGTTCAAAATCTCAGACTTTGAACTGGAACCCACATTAGCTCTGTGGCTAATGGCTACTTCTTATCTACAAACAAAAACACACGTCTTGTGATGCACACTGGCGGACTGAATTTCATTTTTAATGGAATTGATTTAAGTAAATTGTCAGTAGACTTAAATGTTCTGTATATGACATTCAGAGCACTTACATAGCAGCGAACCACTATCTGCTATGGTATGAGTAGTAGTGGAGTAATGGCGCCCTGAGCAGATAATAAGGTCACACTACCACTGTATGTGTTGTATTTCAAGCTTCTCTGTGGTTTTTTGTGGTATCCTGTCTGGCCGCATGTGCATGCAGTTACTACTTATGTCGGGAGGTCAGTGGCGCACAAGCATAGTGCCCACCCTCCAGTGTCCCCCTGGTTAACACATTAACTCTGTCAGCATTGTTGCCATTGTTTTATTACTGTTTATGGTATTAGCACTGCTTGCTGCTGGCTCAACCACCTCCATTTTGAGGACCGTGTCTGAATTCGTATAGAACCCTTTCAAGTAGAGCTGGATGCAGAAGGTGATTAGCTTGTTTTAGCAGAAAGACTGGAAGCAAGGGGAAACGTCTACCTCGGCTCTGAAATCAAACAAAAAAACACTCCTACCAACATGTCCAAAGCAGGATTTATACTTAAGCATACTCTTTACCATAGCCTTATGTGCACCTCCCCAGAAATGTAACTACACATTGCGGCAATTGTAAACCTAAAACCATTCCCGTCAGTGGAAACAAAACTTTAATTCACTTTTATTTCACAGATAAAAACAATAAAATGTGGAGGTATTAAAGCCCCATGAAACAGCATTTTAAGTCTTGTGTGTGATTATGGCTTTTTCTGAGTAGAGGGAAACTCTGCTAGCTGCTAGGCTAATTTATACACTGTTAAATGCCATAAGTTGTGCTACAAACATTAGCATGTTGTATTTGTGGTCAAGATGTGTCCAGCAAAAGACAAGTGTTTTGTCTGTAAATTTTAAGAATTATAATGGAGCCAAATTGTGTACTTGTGTTTGAAATTGTCGTTATTCTATGTTGAAAACCGTGTCCAGACACATATGCTCTGAATTTCATATAAAGCCCATTTAAGTACACAGCTGGAAGCGGTAGGTGATTAGCTTAGCATAAAGACAGGAAGCAGGGGAAACAGCTAGCCTGGCTCTATTTAAAAATGAAAACAATAAAACCACCTCTTTCAACACATCTGAAGCTCACTAATTAACACACTATATACAGTTTGGGCAATGTAAAAGAATTGCAATTTATAGTTATGCCAAGCTAGGCTAACTATGTCCTGACTCAAGCTCTGTACTTAACGCACAGACATGAAGTTGATATTAATCTCCTCCACACATTCTCAGAAAGAAAGCTAATAAGTAGTCTTTATTCACTCCAACACAATATAGTAAATCTATTTAAACTTCATCTGTTGCAGTTGTGTAGCTCTGTCTGTGGAGTTAATACCGTTAGCTGCTAGCCGTCAGCTAAGCCACCTCCATGTTGAGAGCTGTGTCCAGACAACTCATACACTCTGAATTTTGCATACAGCAGGAATTGATTTTTTTGGCCACTGTAGGTGCAGCAGAACATGTAAACACAACATTGACATATCCTCCCCACAAAGTTGTTACAGCTAACAGTCGCTTATTTACCAGCAACATTTAGCATTCCTTTGGAGTCATGTAAGGCCAACATTCACTCTTACGTTAGCTCTGTTTTGGTCTCCACCAACTCCAGAGAAAGATATCTGTCTCTTTAGCTTTTAAATTGCTCCACTACATTCAACAGCTAGTTGCTAATGGTGTTTGCCTGTAGTTTTTTGCTCTATTGTTTTTATACATTTATTTTTTGGTACTGCTTTAATTAATTGATGTATCGACATATCTTATTGCTGCAGTTACAGTAAAACTCTTGCTTTCAGTAACAGCCCTCAAAAGCGCGTTCAGTCCAGCTGCCGTCTTTACACCGTCAGTTATCTGCACAAAGCCTTCATAGATGCAAAAACAGCTAAAGGCATCACCGCACGCCATAAAACTCTGCAGAGGCTTTAGTTAGAACTGTTGGGGAAAGTGCCAAGCTAAGCACTTGCTGGGCTGGAACTCACAGGCCTTTTTTTCAGGAAGAAGCCACAGTTAGATCTTGGATC